CTTCAGTTGGAGTCGGCGCAACTCTCTATCGGCCTTATCACGACGAGCATAGGGAACAGCTAGAGCTTTCCAAAACCTCGGTATCGCCTATGGTTTCAACAGTAGGTGGAGGACGTAGTTTTTCAAGAGACATTGTCTAGACTCATGGAACGAAACTGCATGCTCCTGCAAAAAATCTTAAAACTGTGTATGGGTTTCCATCAGGTTGACGTTCGACATGATTCTGGGAATAAGTTTAATTCCGTTACGACCAAGTATGCTTGGGCCAGGTCCTCCAGAAACGTGCCCAGACACATGATTCATTGAATTATTGTAGGAGATGGGTGCAATAAATGTGCCCAGCACCTTCCCCATCTGTCCCGTGTACGATTGCAATAGTGTACTTGGTGGAGCTAACTTTGGGAGTTGTGATAAGGCATCCGGTCGTATCAGGGTAACTGGGAAAGCGGTAACAATTGCAAAATCCACAGGTTGCCCGTTTACCTTGACAGACACGACAAACAACTTTTCCGACGAGATGTTGCGATTAAAAACCGTTGTGGTATTTATCCAGTTCTGAGGTCAGTTCTCGGTGATGCAATTTGTAGCTTTCTTTTGCTCAGGTGCAAATGATTTCCGCTTGGAAAGACATACTTTCTGTATATGACCTTTGTGCCACGAAATCCGCACACTGAATGAACATGCTGACAGTCAGTTGGGGACGAATGACTTTCACCGCAGCGATAACAAAATTCTCTACGCTGCACAAGTTGCGTTGCTGTTTGATCACAGTTAATCTGAGGGAATTTGTATGCATCCTGTGAGATCAAATGATTGGAGGAAGAAAACGCAGCTAGTTTCTGAACGAGGTTTGTACGCTGTCAGACAATATCACAGGCTTTTTCCCAAGTCAGGAGCGTTTCGTCTTCGGATAGCAGCCGCTCTCGTGCCTTCTCAACTAGAACACCCATAATTAACGCCTGAACAGCATCGCTTCTTCCAACTGGTTCGGTAGAATCTGATCAAAAGCACAATCGTGTAGGGCAGTAAGAAGTCGAGCGATGAACTCATTTACACTCTCATTCGATTGTGGTCGTTTGGTGTTGGATTTGTAGTGTGCTGTGAACACGTGGCATCTCCCCCCAAAGTTGGTCCAGAGAATAGAACACAGATCGTAGGTCACTTTTTGTATGTAGTTGAAACTGTCGAAATGTCGCTGGCCCTCAGTACTGAGGTGGTGTCGTAGTAGTCTGATTTTCGCTGCATCGTTTAGCGTGTCGTTGCACCCAAGAAGCAAAAGCAGCTCAAGGTAATTAATGAAAGTGGTTTTCCACTGTCTCCATTGCTGGGTACTAGGTCTTTCAGTAGGGGAATGCCAAAACGGTAGGGGTGCCGTAATCGAATTTGCCATGAGTAATCCGATAAACTCCCTCACCAATATGTTATACCCAAACGAAATCAGAACAGCGGTAGGGTAGTGGAAAAACTTTAGCAGCAAGCGTGAAGCGGTACACTCTAATCAGCACATGTGAGCACGTAACTAAGTGCCACGAGAGCCATGTGAACACGAGAACGAGTTCCAGTTCGAAGCAAATCAATGGCGGGCACTGATTGGTTGTCACACAAACACGTACGCGCACAAGTATACGCGCCCATACGCAGCTGCGTTTCCGGCTAAATTGCGGTGGATAGATTTGGCAAGACCAATGACCGAAGCGGCATTCCTCTGGGAATCGTCGCCGTTGCTGTATGAACAGCAGAACCCTGCCGTACTCATCAGATGGCAGTCAAGCAGCCGTTTGAAACTATCCTTTGTCGATGCATAAGCAATGATCTCCAGCAGACTGTTCCAATCATTCACTACATGAATTGATAGGGCACAAATCGGTAACTATTATGAAGTAAACCAGATTATCCTTACGAAAGGTTTGTCAGCTTTTTGCATAACAGTGACGTAAGTGGATTTTGAGCGGTTCTCCGAGCTGAGTGATTATTGTGTGACGTAAGTGAGGTGGTTTATGCCATGTAGTGTAACCAGTGCTTTACAAGCCTTCCGTTGATTCATTATCTCTTTGTGCCACAAAATGTCTCTAATTTGGACCAGTCAGTCCACATTTTATCGACAAACAATGTAGTAAAATGGTAAGGTAGCTACTGAAATTGTGGGAACATTTCCTCCTCTCTGGCTATTCCAACGATTACTAGACGTATAAGATTCAGGCAGATATTTTCAACAGTGCAAAAACAAATTGTCATTGGTATTTTGGGCAGCAAATGACCATTAGCCGTCGTGACTACCGAGCAAGGATCACATTTCTCCTCGACGCTTGCCACGTTGCTTAAGGATTTAAGCTGTTGCCACGTTCAGACGACGGCGGATCATCTGGCGGCTAACAGTATCTTGGATCGTTTTCACCGACGGTTGAAGGCAGCGCTACGTGCTCACGCAGATCCTTCATGGTCTGAAACACTTCCCCTCGTCCTCCTAGGCTTAAGAAACATGGTTGAAACTGATTTCGACGCAACACTAGCGCAACTAGTCTACGGTTGCATGCTGCGGTTGCCCGGACAGTTGGTAGCACCAGCCCCGTCTATTTCCTCTTTTGACTACGGAAGTTACACCGATCGATTGGCTTACCATATGCGTGAGCTACGTCCACCTGCTGCTCGATCGCAGAAGACACCCTTGTACGTGCCCGAGAAACTATCTACATGCTCACACGTCCTTTTTCGCGCAGCTGGTGTTCAACAGCCTCTTCTTTCGCTGTACACAAGACCGTTCAAAGTGCTACACCGAGCGAATAAAACGTACACTGTTGACCTAAATGGCTAACGCGAAGTCGTCACCTTCGACCGTCTAAAGTCCGCCTTTATGGAAGAAACCACATCGCCTACTTCGTCTAGTATTGCTTCGTGCGACATCACAACTCACCGCACCAGCTTTCAGCATCCTAGTGCAGTTCAACCAGACTACGATCTCGGTCTAAAAGCATCAGCCGTCCAGACATCTCCCGAATCCAGCCCACCGCCTACCATGACCAATCGCTGTGATCGGGAAGTACGTAAGCCCGTTGGTTTCTCCGACTGTGTATAGTGTAAATAGATTTAGCTTTATAAATATTGTATACATTTGCCCCGTTTTTGGTCGGATGAGGTTTTGTAAACAAAAAAACAAAACGTTTTTAAAAACCTGTTCTAAAAGTTAGTTAAAAAACCAAAAGATCTAAACACGCAAATCATTCCTTCATTCTGGCTTTTTCTGCAAGTCTTTTCCTATTTTCTCGTCTCTACATGCTCCAACCCGCCCCTTCGATCGATTGGCCCACATTAGCAATGTTCTCGAGAATCGGCGCAATCAATGAAGATCCTGACCCGAACACTGCTAGTTTCTCCGCCGGACGAGGGTCACTTTTTCGTGAAACGACGGTCTTTTCTTCCTGGGACAATGGTCATTTCTCCGTGGGACGAGGGTCGTTTTGGCACGGAGCGGATTGCGGCGGGGGAGAGACCACTCCCAAGCACACCGTTTGGCAGCAGCGTAGGTTCAGTTCCTGTCGGCATCTTTCTGGGCTATTCAGTTTTTGTAGTCCCACCAGCCCGCTTCAACGGCTCGCCGAAATGCACCCTGCCCTGAAATCAGTAAATAATAAATCCCAAACGGCACAGCTGACTGCGACTTCCGGCGAACCCTATTCGACACGAATGCTCGCACATTCTTACTCCTCACGATTTTGCAAAACGAACCTCAATTCACCAGTCATTTTGATATCGAAGCCTTTCTACGTTCAGCCTTCTAGGGGCCTTCTGTGGCGCCCAAAAAGATAACTACTATCTTTTATTCACTATTTAATTGTTAACCAATTGTACATTATCCTTTCTTGTTTTAATCTTCCTTACAACCGGCTAGACACTCGACCACCTTGTAAGTTCCCGCGCTAACGTGTACCTCCTGTCTTGCTTCATCCGTCCGCCCGTCTTCTTGTAGCCCATCGAATACAGTCTGCTGTGTCCGACTCCAATTGCCTTCTGGTATCCGCGTTTAATTTTGCACACTTTCTCCGACTAGTATTGACTAGTACTACGGGATCTCTGGCATGTAAGCTGTTTGTCTGAGTCTAACTGCGACGAATCTTCACAAAAACTCAACAAAACCCCCTACTGCTTGCAAAGAATCAGTAGTCGCCTTAGAAACTTACATACCACGTCTATTAGTTGCAGCTTGCAAAGGAAGTCATTGCTCTGGTGGCTAGTCCTGTCCTCCACACGTTCATAACATGCATGACAATAGAGGATGAGCCGCGCTATATCGCACTTAGAAATCAGTCATGGCGGTGGTCTGCCGTCGCTCATTGCTTAGTAGCATAAGTCACTGACCCACAAGAGCAAGGTCGTCGGTTCGAATCCGGCAGGATTTGAGGAGTGCGCGCTGCTGACGAGTCCCAATAGAATCAACCGGTCATCTGGCGCTTTCCTAAATATGCGGTGACTGTCTGCTTGAGGCTAACCGTGAAAGATGTTCACAAAAGCCTAATAACTAATCCTACTGCTTACAAAGCATACCCTTCGCTCAATTGAGTACATCTAACGTCCATAGGTATCCACTCTATTTTAGACTGATTGCATACTACTAAGGTTGATTAGTAGGCTGGTAATGTAAGAAAAAAGCCTATCAGAATATTAACGAAAATACTAGTCATGTCTGCAAAACTGGCACACATCGCTGTATCCAATCGTAATATCGAGGCACTTCAATTGAAGCTCATCCGTCACTGGAAGGATTTGCATGATGTCGGTCGCCGTATACCACTTCACAGTAAATAAATCAACTTGTTTATCTATACATAACTGCAATACACTTCACAGCTGCCGTTGTCAAAATTTTACATTAGAAATCCCGTTAGGGGAGCACCCTCGTAGAAAATCGCACAACTCTCTTCAGAGTACACTGAACAGGTTGCCAGTGGTCGTTGACGGGTGTACTACACCAGATATTACCAGACTTAACACGAACACCCACTGACCTTTGCAACACATTCCTCTTCGTTGAATGGCACCACGCGATAGGCACCGGAAACTTTTGTTGCTGCAAAATAGAGCACATAAAGCATTGGATAACGCTGCTTCCAGCCACCAATTGTGTAGATGGTACTAGAACATTTGTGTATGTAATAGGGACACAAATCGATTCTTAAGCATTCCACGATTTTGTGAGGTTGTTGCAGGTCCTCCACTGTGGTTAGTGACTACTTAGCGCTTACTGTGATTCCATGCTGACCAAGTGTGCACGGAAAAGGTAAGTGTTTGCCATTGTTAATTGTGGGGCTAGATAACTTTTAGTCAAGTAAGTAGCGTTTTCTGTCGATGATTATGCTCAAACAGTCCAGCGCGCATCAAACTAGCAGAAAAGGGAAATAAAGTGTTTCGTATTCTGTTGGGCTCAGTAAAGTTATAGCAAAAGCGCATCGACAGGGCTGATCACCGAATGCTAGTGGGGTACGAAATACCTGATTGCTTTGATCGGGCGCTCAACTTGAGCCGGGGTCTACGATACGCATCCAACAAAACAAGGGTCATGGCCCTAGCTGTTCCCTGTCGGTCACAATATACTGTGGGCAGTTCTGTATACATTTGAACGTTTGGCTCGCAACGTTGTGGTGACAGCTGCGCTACTCAGACTTATTCTCTTTCAACGAGTAGTTTGGCTGCATGGCTCCTGGACATGGTCGGTTTCCGTCTGGCAAGCGTTCTCCCTATACCAAGCCACGAATGTCCGTTTACAAGGCTGCGACGTGGAGGATATGAATTGCCATCAAATAAAGTCACCGCACATTGTTTCACTCTGGTAAAGCATTGTCTTTCAGAGTCCTCATTCTGAGATTGTGAAGAGGATTTGGTCCCTGTTTAGTAAATGATTGAACGAAAGACTTCTAATCTGAGCACTTGGTCGTCGGCTCCAACCGGTTGCGATTCCGTTAATTCTGTCTGCTGCCTTTTGGGTAGGCCATTCGCCCAAAGACTCGAAGTGGTGTCCCCTAAGACAATTCCCTAATTCGGCTTTGAGCAATTGGATAGCGTCGGGTCCTGTAAAGAAACCATGCATCTATCCGTGTTGTGCTGTGTATTCTTCCGTGACATATGCAAGTTCTTTGATTTCCATGGTTTTCATGGCCGCGAATCCATCCGTAGCCCGCTGCAATATATATATATATATATATATATATATATATATATATATATATATATATATATATATATATATATATATATATATATATATATATATATATATATATATATATATATATATATATATATATATATATATATATATATATATATATATATATATATAGTACCCTGCGCGCTTCTAATCATATTGCTGCACATCCAACTTAAACATTTATGTAATTTCAGATGACAAATGGTGGAATTTACTTTACAGCACAAACTTATAGCACACTATTATCGTACATTCCCAACGCTACCATGTAACAGATTTCGTCTGGAGTATTACACGGTAAGCCAGCTTGAGCTTGCACATAGTTATGCAAATTTAGTTATAGGACCAACTGAAAGGGTTGAGCAGATGTTGAAGTTACGCACCAATGCCTAAGCGAAAATCAATATGTCTAACAGACTTTAGACTAGTGGGAACAATTCTGTCGATACAGGTTACTTTGTTGGTCCTGACAGCTCACAAGCGCGACAATCTAAGCACCAATTCGGAAACGAACCAGACAATAGTTTTGCTTTCTTCTTACTTATCAGTAATTCCCCCGATAGTCTGGTAAAGTATAAAATAAATTTTTTTTTACAGTTATGTGTGTGTTTGGCATCACTTACTCCCTGGATAGAGAAGTGGAATTAGGTTCACGTAGGCAACTCCATGATGCTCGCAAGACATTTCGCGGTCCTTTGTTTTAGAATACGAATTACTTAATAATATTTACTTTGTTGCCCACAACTGAGCCTGACCTTTTTGTTTTGATGATTTCAATCGGCAGAAATTGTCTGTTCGCAATTTCTTTACGGAGACTAGCAAAATAAACACGAGCAGGAACCATACTTGTGTATTGATTTGGATGAGAGTAAAACCTTTGCCATTTGATTCCAAACAACTTTAGGGCTTTCATTCTGTGCGGCAAAACGGAAGTGAATATCCTCAGGCGAACAAAATTCCCCGTCTTCTTTGTTTAAGCTTAGCTCTTTTGTGTGTACACTTGGAGCCAGGTAAAGAGAACGTATACATACCTCTCAGGAACAAACTCACATAACCCCTTAGTTCCTCCTGGATCATACCACCGCCACAGGGGTTCATGATATTCAGGATCTGTTGGTAGTCGCAAAGCTCCTCTCAAGAATTCCAGATGTGTATCGCCCTATCCATCTACATCAGAATGAGATGTGAATTTACTTCCGACTGCCAAATCATAGGAAGCGCGCAGAAAAAACTTCCTTGATTTTTCAACTGAAGATTTTCAGGTAGTGACTGCATGGAATCGATGTAAATGTTCATAAAGCAGACGTCATCATTTTCGGGAAGAGGATTAACACCCTCTATGAATGCTTCACAATAAGCGAAAATCTGCAAATGATAAATAACGGACAAGTTAAGAGAAACCTCAGCTTCTCCTTGGTCTCTGGACGTTGGGAGAGAATGTAGTGGCAATTTCATTTCGATTTTTCTTGCCTCTGCGAACATCACAGAAGTAAATAAATACCGAAACCTTTGAGCAAGTTCGAGCATTCGAAAACTGCTTGTCCAACGAGAGTAGGGTGTTGTTGTTGTTGCTGTTGTTGTTTTTGAGTTTGTTTTCGAGGTTTCGGTGGGTGCTGATACAGTGACACTACGTAATGTGGTAAATTGTGAGTCACATACATATGAATGGAAAGTTGCACAAAGAAAACTGATCACTCAGCACATCCACGGAACTACCGCCGTGGAAGGTGGCGTCAACGTTAAGCTTCCCATTTTCCAATACGGCAAGTTTAGGCGAATCTCCTAAACTAGAGCCTTTAAATTCTAACCTGACAGTGTATTTCACATCTTTCGATACAAACACCTGTAGATCATTAAGTGTGAGAAACTGACCAAACCAGTCCATCAATATGCAACACCTTGATCGTTAACAATGAGCTGCCACTGGTTATCTTATCTGTTTCGTTTATAGCGGGCATGTCACATGTAATTGGCGACGTTCCCTGCGCGTGGAAATAGATCCAGTAGGCTGAAACATGAGAGAAAGCTTTTACAGATGGAGTGAAAATGTGGTATAGTTGAGTACATAGAGGTAGAATGGTGGAGTGTAATAGACCAACCTGTTACTGAACAGTGTGTACCAGTAGCATACACCAGTGTATATATATATATATATTTATTGCAGCAGCACTCACAGGTTGCCACGATACATGGATAGGTACCATAAAATTGGAGTGCTAGAGAAATCTCGTGAATCCGTACGCAAAGCATCAAGGTGTCACGACCTGTCCATCATTGAGTGCAATGCTGGAAAATATCCAAGAGTGTTGCCGAACAGATGTGTTTAGGATTCTTTTGCCCTCAGTACTGGGCCACAGAGCGCCTAGTCAAGGCCAAAATAGCGGATAGAGCTTTCATACCTTCAGCTCAGATCACACGCTGGACAATTTTCTTTCATCTCCAGCTGATTTAACCGCGTACAAAGGGAGCATGAACAGGCAAATACTGAGCTGTTACAGGACTCCTATGCCAAATCCATGGAAATGCTCGCGGGTCAATGGAATCTAGCTCACCTTATTATCTCCTGCTAAACGTCAATAATGCTAATGTAATATTGTCATCATACACCAGTAACGCTTCCAAACAAGTGGGGATCAAAAATAGACAGTCACTGACCATTCTCTGTGTAGATGAGCCAAGCCTATAAATCCCACAGAAGGGCTATTCGTACGTTAGGATTGTAGACTAGGTCCGTTAGAGAGAGGCCTAGGTCAAATTGACGTCAGAGATGCCGGAAAGTAATGAAGGCAACCGGAGTCCCGGAGATGTGCAAAAAAGATACACTTCGTTAAACCTTTAGTATTGTGGTGGTTTTCGAGATAAACAAAGTTTCAACAATTGAACAAGTGTTTACGGTGATTGCTCATCAGATCAGTAGAATGTGCTCAATTGTATCTCCAGTGTTATTTTCCTTTTGTGATTGTACAGGTCTAATGAGGATTCACTATAAACGCATTTGTTGGCCATTTCAGAAGTTAGCATTAGATAGAAACTGTAATGGAGGATTCTATCCAGTCCTACAAAAATAACTCCCACTTTGTGGTTGCGGCCATTCCGAACTAGGATACATGAACTGCATAATTTAAGTGCCATTCGGGGAATTACAAACTGCGGCGATGTCGTCAGCACACTCAAACCGAGTGTATATGAGTTCACTTTCAGATAGAGGTAGGGGGTGTCTACCACTAACGATTTCCAATAGGAGGAGGCGAGCATCTGGTGCTCTCCCCGATTAGTGGTAGGCTATCTGACTTTGAAGCAGTGGCGGTGAACTCTCAAAAACCAAAACACCACTTGTCACCTAATTACTTTCACAGAACCATCAAGATGCCGCTGCGTTTACGGTTGCCTATAGCACCGCTCCTGAGGTTATCCATAGCAAAGTTGAATAAGATGGGTGAAGCTGAGCGACCGTGTCCCACCCCACTGGTACTGCGGTCGGGGAGTGCAATGCACCCTACGCTCTCACGTTGCCCGAGTTTTGCGAGTAAATACCTCTGAGGACAGTAACACACATCTCGGGCACTGCCATCTTCAACAGACAAGTTCGGACAGCGGACCGGTCAACCGAGTCAAACGCGGCCCCCTACGTCTGAGAGGACAATGATTGTAAGCCGACCGAGCGTCTGAGGACTCTCAAGATATTGGGGACCGTAAGGACGTGCTCAACACAGCTATGATACGGGTAGAACCCAGTTTGCTCTTCGCGTATGTCACGTATCGCTACTAGGTTGGTTCTCCTTAAAAACAGAGCAGCGAGAATTTTGAATGCAAGGAAAATGTGATTAAGATCTCGGATGACAGCACAGATGGTTCGGTTAATCTTGTTGAAGATGGGCACGATATTCTCTAAGCCCCATTCGGGAAGAGCAAACTGCGAGGTTCAAGTATATCGGGAAAGTGAAATTAACTAACGGGTGAGGGGTTGGTCTAAATATTTGAAAAAAGGGGGAAGAATCCCGCGTGGAGTCGAAAAAAACGCGCATCAGGTGTCCTGTGCATTTCTGATGCTTGTCAGTTAAACCGTAGTTCAAAATGCTCAACCTAAATCACAAGTCGCGGTTGTAAAAAGCGGAGCGGCTCATTAATAAGTACACATAAACTATGCTTACTATGAATGGAATCCAGAGAAAGATCTTACGGAACTCCAAGACAGCAGCCTGCTTTTCTTTTGAAAACGCATTGTACACCGCTTTTCTTGGTTCTCCAGGAGGAACCACTCGAGCTCAGCCCTGAGTAGTTATTTAAAATCAGCTACAAGAAGAATCAGTTGCGGGCCCCTAGAAGATAGGAGTTCAGCGTGCAGTATGAATCGATCAGTCAGCTCACATTGGCTTCCTGCGATCCCTGAACATCATCATCATCATCATTACACGTTAGCTGGAGGTGGAAAACACCTCAGCTATTGTGCCGCAATACAAAAGACAAGAAAAGAAAAAAAGCAAACAGTGGCACGCCCGCTGAGTCCCCAGTAACGGATGGACATCGTTCCGGAGAGCTAACAGCTGGCTGCCGTAAAAGAGTCATATTATGCCTAACAAGTGAGATCGCGATTGGAGGGGGATGCTAAACAGGAGGGGGATGGACAAAGGAACTCACAACACAAACGCCACTGGGGTCGGCTCCAAGCCATATCAGCTAGTGTGTCCAACCAAACGTGTTCACCGTCCTTAGGACCCCAGCCAGGCAGTCGGGATGCACCAACCGACGCCAACTTCGAAGTGAGGGCTTTCATTTCTCTCGACCAAGTCATCACTTGGCCTCCCCTCCTCCTCTTCCAACCGTACCCACAACGCGCAAACAATGCACATCGCGGGAGGCGGTGTGCTGACATGCGCAACAAGTGGCCCAGCCATCGGAGCCTGGTGCGTGATATAATGGTGCTGAGCGGTTCACGCGCTCTTCCTGCACCAAATACGCGACCTCGAACACGCTCATTGCTCACGCGGTGTTTCCACCAGACATGAGCTAAGCTGCGAAGGCAGCGATGATCGAATGTTACGAGCCTCTTCACGTCTGTCGACCTGATGGGCCAGGTTTCACAGCCAAATAGGAGAGTTGAACGAACGGCTGCGTTGTAAACTCTGCCCTTGAGGGCGAGAGTAATGTCGCGTCTGCGCCACAGGTGGCGGAGATTGGCAAAAGCACCTCGAGCTTTTGCTATACGGTTCGTAACCTCATCTTCAATCCCACGGGTGCTAATATAGCTGCCCAGGTACTTGAATTCCCGAACGACTTCTAGCAGATTACCACCAAGCGTTAGTGCAGGGTTGGGTCCCTGCCAATCTTGGAGAAGTACTTTGCATTTCGATGGGGCAATTTAATCGAATGACTGCGGAACGGTATTGGTTGAGTGTACTAAATAGCGAAGTCAAAGCCGGTCTTCCTTGAAAGTATCCGGTAGTTCAAAACCAAGTCAACGCGAGGCTAATGACAAAGCAAATATTTTGCGCTTATGCAGCTGCTGCATAGGGCAGATACCACAGCTCCCGAGCTATTTCGTTATAAACCGTCTGGACCAACTCTACTGGCATTCTATGACAAACCAACCATGGTGGACAAGCTTAGACGCGAGATTCTACGTGCGGAACAACAAAGTCTGAAAACCACCTAAGGAATATTCTTGGTGTGATGATCCCCAATGACATGCGGATTATCCACATCACTCTGAACGTTTTGCCGGTGCACATCTTCCAGTTATTCCCGGACTTGAAATAGCGGATACAACATCAACTAGAGCACACAGCCGGGAAAAATGAGGTAGCTTTTCTCACCATACAGATAACTTAGTGAGCGACCACTCTACCCTACTCTAAAGAACAAACACATGGCATAATATATAGGT